CTTGCGTTGGAATTTCTTACAATTTTATCAAGCGCCGTGCTCCCGACACTCAGGCACCCACGAGTCGCGCCCGTTGTGGCCCCATGTGCATGCCCTTCGTGGCCCCGCTGTCGCCGTTTGTGGCCCCCTCACTGTCCTACGTGGCCCATTTGCTACCCTCAGTGGCCCCATCGTTGCCTTCTGTGGCCCCGCATTATCTGCCCTTCGTGGCCCCCGCTCGTTCGCGCTCTTCGTGGCCCCATACGCATTCCCTTCGTGTCCCCGCTGTCGCCCTTCGTGGCCTACTTCGTGTCCTTCGTGACCTTGCTGTCGTTCTCTCTCGCTCTCGCTTTCGCTCGTCGTCGCCGTCGTCGTCGCCGTCGTCGTCGACGTCGTCGTCGTCGTGGTCGGTCCCCTGTCCGCCCCTCTTGGGGTCGGGTCGACGGTCCGCGGCCGCCCCGCCGATCAGCGCTGCCGCTGGCCAGGCCGACGGTCCGCGGCCGCCCCGCCGCTTGCCGGGGGGAAATTCGCGTGATTGGACACTCGAGCAGATAAGGTCGAACAGTTTTAGAATGATTGTTGTTGTTGCCGCTGTTGCTGTTGTTGTTGTTGGTGGTGTTGTTGTTGTTGGTGTTGCTGTTGTGTTTGTTTTTGTTGTTGAACTCTCACTTCCGAAGAATAACTATTGTGGATTCCCCCTCACCGGTGCATCTTTTTTTTTCTCAGTCAAAGTGTGCCCCATCGAGGCTCGCACCCTGTTTTTTTGACAGGGAAAGTCTTGGTGCTCAAACTGTGCCCCTGGCCTCCCGGACTACAACAACAACGGCTCCCGCCTAAGATTTCATCCAAATTTACTCAGCCCCCCCCCTCCCGTCAGAGAATTCCCCCCAGTGTACTCATAAACGGCGCTCCCGATTGAGACTTCCTCACAATTTGGTCCGGGTCAATCTGCATTGCTGCTCCCCCGGACTACAACAACAACGGCTCCAGCCTCTGACTTCCTCAAATTTTACTCAGGACCGCCGCTCCCGCCTGAGACTTCCTCCCAATTTACTCAGGATCAGCGCTCCCGCCTGTGACTTCCTCGCAATTTAGTCAGTCCTGCGCGTGGTGACCACCGCGGTATAGCTAATGTAATGGGGTCCCAGTGCCGACTGTCGCATCCCATTGACAGGTGCCAGAGCTCGCTGCCTCTGATTGCTGTTTCGCCTCCCACTTCTCGCTGAGCAGCGCCAAAGCCAGCTACCACTATGCGTTTCCCCCGCTCGCCGTGAATGCCGCATGTCGTGCCGCAACAACAAAGCCCGCGGCCCCTGCTGGTTTCTCTCACCCACCCTGGCCCTGCAGCGTTCTAGGAGATGGCATCGGGCACCACATTCGCCTCCAACACCTCGCCGAGCAGCACCAGAGGTGTTACATGGCGCTGTTTATGGCGCGACCCATGGCGAAACCTTTGTTAACCTGTGTTGAAATGGCTGACGCAAGCCATGGCGCAAGCTGAATCGCAACTCGCGGCACAAAGCATCGTCGTCCTTCCCTCGTGTCCCTCTAATCCCTCCCTTCCTCCGATCCCGTCGTCATATCTTGTCTTTCCCCTTCCGTTTCCTTGTTTAGGGGCTTCTCCAAGTACACGTGGCCAGGAAAGAATATAACCCCCCATCAGGGGGGCACGATCGAAGACGAAGAGGGAGGGTATCCAGGGTTTGGGATACGCATAGTGAATGACACGCGGGCCGGTAGGAGCGAACAGTCTTGTAATGATTGTTGTTGGTGGCGGTGTTGTTGTTGTTGTGGAGGTGGAGGTGGTGTTGGTGGTGGCGGTTGTTGTTGTTGTTGCTGTTGTTGTTGTTGTTGTAGTTGCTGTTGTTGTTGTGGTTGTTACTGTTGCTGTTTGTTGCTGTTGCTGTTGATGTTGCTGTTTCAGCACAGCCCTTGGGCCCCTGGCGGCGGGCCCACAGAGGGCGCCCGAGAGAGGCGGCGAGCCACGCAAAACAATCGGGGCTCGGCCAGTGGGGCCCAGGCCACGCCGCTGGGGATGGGGATCGCTTAAACGGTACGCATGATCGCCCCCTTTTGTTCCCCGTCCTCCGCCGTCTCCGCGTCCCTTCTCTCCGCCCGGCCCCTCTTCACGCTCCTGCTCTTCCTCGCGCCAGATCTGGCCCTCCTCCCCTGGCGTCCTCCTCCTCCTCCGCCTGCTCCTTTCTCCTGGTCCGCACCTGTCTCCACCTCCTCGTCCTCCTCCTTCTCCTATTCCTTCTCATTCTCCCTTTTCTGACTTCTCCTCCTCCTCCTCCTCCTCGTCCTCCTCACTCCTACACTCCCTAAATATAATTTCTCTCGAACCTGCAGGTGCCTCCAATGTCCTCCGACGCTCCCGAGGGTCCACGGAAGTAGTTTCCAAACTTCGACAACGCTCGTCGTTTTCCTCGTCATCCTGTGTTCGTCCTTGTCCTCCCCTGTTCGGGTCGGACGGACGGGCGTATTGGGAACGGGGAGGGGCCACGACGTTTGCTGCATGCAGCTGGTTTCGGCCCCGCCGCCGGGCAGCTTCCTCGATACGGGCTCCCCTCGGCCGCCGCGTGGCGCTGGGAAAACATGACCTGTGAGCCGATTCGCTGCCCCTCCCTTTCCTATGTCCCTTGCTTCCGATTCCCGAACGCCTCCGAAAGGCGTGCCCGAGCCTCCGAAACCACTCCTCCTCGTCCTCGCCCTCCTTTCAGGGGCGGCGGTCGGGGGGGGTGGGCTCCGGGGGGGGGGGTGCATTGACCCCCAGTCGCCCATCGGGGATCGCCGAATATAGCCCGCACCGCCCAGGATCGTGCGAAGTGTTTCTTTTCGGTGGCTTACCGCGCCGATTCTTCCATGCATCGCCGATTTCAGGTGGATGCCCTCCCTCCTCCTCTCCTCTTTCTGACTCCTCCTCCTCCTTCTCCTCCTCCTTCTCCTCCTCGCTCCTCCTCCTCCTCCTCGCTCCTCCTCCTCGCTCCTCCTCCTCCTCTTCCTCTTCCTCCTCCTCCTCCTCCAGGTCGATGCTCCCCCTTCTGAGCCGGCCCCCCCCCGCCGATAGCCCCCCCTTCCTTGTGCTGATCGTTCTGCCGATTCATCATCGGCCTCATGCCCTCGCCGGGGTGCTGCTCACCAGCTTCGGGCCACGCGGGGGCCTTGTCCCATTCCCGTGCGCCTCCGAACGCCGTTCCCGCAGTTCCGAGACCACTCCTCCTCGTCTTCGTCCTCGTCTCCCGCTTCGGCCTCTTCGTAGCAATTTTGGCTCCAGACAGCAATGTCCCTTGCACAGGAGGTCTAAGTCGGACATGTCCTTCTAGAGAATAGGTTTAAACATAGTATGGTGCTGATTTGTCGTGCTCGTCTTGCTGTCTTCGATGTTTGAAATTATTGTGCTTACGTT